AGGATCATCAAACTGTTTTATGTGCATCAGTTTGGTAAAGGTCTGCCAATGCTCATTAACTCGTATCAGTAAACTCCGAAAAACCACTTGGCAGCATTTCGTTTTCAATTTCCCAATCTACATTTCAGTATATCATCTCTCTCCAAGACTACCCTGTCGGTGCCATTAGGTCTTAAGATTTCCTCTCTGCATCCATCCACTCGGTCTCTCTTCCTGTTACTCATTTTGTCCTTTTTAGAAACTTACTGATCCTGGCCGCTTACTCATTTTCCTATGTTAGAGAGTAGTGATCTCCACTTTCTGTCGCATTTCCAAGTTGCGAGTGGATAAAGACATGGCAATATCCACAGATAATCTCATTTCTGAAATGACATTTTGTTAAAGATAGAACAGCCACGAATGGTTGCCCAAGATGATTCAGATGAATGTTGCCGAAACGTTTGAGCCCCTAAATTATGATTTCCACCATGAAGTGCAAACTAACAGATCAGCCTAAGGGCATTGGTAAATTTAATAGGAAACACAGATTGCACTGACAAGCTTTTCATCTGTGGATTCCATAACATCATACTTTTAATCCACATAAACAAGAGTGAGGCTGGCCTGGTTTGAAAAAGAGACTGTACTGCAGTATACTGGCAACCTTTTGACCCCTTGCAGTGAGTTTGATCCGAACACTGAGATTTCTTCCTATGCGTACTGAGTAACAAAAAGTGAGAGTGCCAGTTTTTATAGTGTAGCGTCACTTTCAAAGAGTGAATGGCCTGTCTAAAATCTTCCCACTCACTGATGTCTGGCTTATCAATTTAAATTGATTGAAGTGGGAATCGGAATGGGTAACGATTTTCGATTGAATCCGCTGGGCTTCGTTGAATTGACAGATCAAGTCCAATCGGGAGAAGTTGGCAACGATCAAGTCAGCCACAAATCATGTCACGCCAGAAGAGAAGGACAGAATCTACTCCAGTCAAACCAAATATGTCAAGGAGTGGAAGAAAAGAAAAAGAACGGTAATGGGGTTTCATCTAAGATTGCCACATCTGCAAAGGTTAAAACTACCTGGCCAGTACCAATAAAATTTATAATTTGATACTGGATCTTTGAGGTGGTACCCCTTGGTGCTATCTGAGCCTATAGTTCTATTGTGCCCAGTCTTTCAGTCTTTTGGATGGAAATGTGAACATTTGGTCATCACTGTTTAAGATTAATGTCAACAATGGGGGTTTGTGAAGTGTTTGCCAAGGAAAAACTGCCTGTCCAAATCATTTTTCCAGTCTTCAGGACATATGGGCTAGATGAGACATTGATGGTATGTAATACAGAGGCACTCAAGAAAAAATGTGTCTTCTCATCTTCAAAACAAGTGGAACAAGTTTATTAAATGTTATCTTTTTAAAAAGTTGTATATGAAATAACCCTTCAATCACATTTATTAAAATAAATAATATGATGCTTGGCATTGAATTTCATATATCTGATTTTCATTGCTCGTTTCCTTCCTAGACAATGGACATAGTCAATGCAATTCTGGAAGGCTATCCCAAGACCAAGAAGCAGTTATTTGTAAGTTGATAACTATTTTTGACTGAAAAATAAAGAAAAAGAACTTGTGTTCCAGCCGAGTCAGATGCAACAGTCGGACACCGACAGTTCTTCTTGGGTGGTGTGGGAGTTATTTTTAGCTATAGCGAGAACAGAGCTGATTTCATTGCTGTGATGACAAAACCCTCCATATTCAGTGATTGTTTGTATCTTTAATACAAGCAACCACTCTGGTAATTTTTTTTCTTTCGGTGAGGCGTACAATTTGTCAGCTTAGTGCAACAAGGTCACATCTCGTGTACAAAACGAATGTGAGATACTAACACAATGAATTATGATCCGTTTGTCGATTTGAATTTATTTCCATCATTTTAAAACTCAAAATAACTCTAAGAGGTTTGCTGGTGTTTTATAACAGTTTTTATGTTTCTGATGGCACTTTCATTTTTTAATATTAGGAGGATGTTGGACTAGAGACGGATGAAGAGTACAATGTTACCATTCCAGATTAATGGGAAGTGTGTGAATGGAAATAGAGAGGTAGGTTCACATTGCTTTCAGTGGAATACCAAAATACTGAAAGATTTTTGTTCTAGCTGTTGTGCTGTATTATTCTAGTTGTTTGTGGAAGTTATTTTGTAGGGCTCAGGAATAAATATTTCTTGTTTTTTTGATGGTTTGAAGCTAACCTCGAGGGTGCCAAGCTCACCTTTTTTGGGAGTTGTCATTTCCAGGTTTCTTTTATCATACTAAATCTTGGCAGACTAATATTCAGTATCCGAGGCAGTAATTCAGTAAAAGCCAACTAAAATAGCCTGAAGTGGCAAGTTGGATATGTGTCATTTTGGCACGGTGTAACCCCTCTGCTCACCAATCCCGATCGAGCCATCGAAGTATTTACTGCAAGGCACTTAAGTATTATTCTGCTTGCCTGAACCTGTTTGGTAAGGTCTGCACCGGCGCTGGGGCAAACAGCCCCAGTAATTGACGCCACTAATGACAGTGGTACCAGCTGGTTGATTGGCACAAGGTCACGGGGAGAGAGAGTTAAGTGTCAAAGGATCAGACTCTGTTAGTCAGTACAGCCTCCAAGTAGTTAGCCTTGTCACGATATCTCCTTGGCCTCAAAGACTTTACCCAATACCAGGAGACAGATGTCAGTTGTTTCAACCGCCTTCCAGTCATTCCGTCCACTTATAGTTTGATGCTTCTTTGCCTCATGCAGCAAGGGAACTTTTCCACTATTTTCTGTCAAATTCTGATGAAAGCTTATAGACAGAGTATACACAGCACCGCTGCAAGCTAATCTGGCCCCTATTGAAAAGAGGTCAGCAGCGCACAGTGCCAGGTTCGTGAACAAAAGAAAGTTACATAACACCGCGCAATCTGGGCTCTTTTTACAAGGCTGCAGGCCTGGCTGAAATACTCGGGCGTCAGTAGATTTTGTCTGTCAGACTAGAGTGGCCACCAGACAGTAATTCGTGTGGGCGTGAACATCCATTAATTGAAATGATGAATTTTCGAAGAATTTTGAAAACTAAAAATCTTGGGAAAAGTCCCGATTATGTGCACTGCATTTTTTCAAACCACCCAGCAGCAAGTGGTGAAGCCAATCACTGCTGTGATTTATGCTTATGGTGATTTATCCATACACACGTGACCCACCTCAAATGGAACATGTGGTGTTGGCACTGGAGAAGAGCACGTCTTAAGTGCCCATGTTGACAGTGGCTTACTGGATCGGTCTGTTGATGCTTTTCCAAAAAAAAAAAACTGTCAGCTTTCTGTCATCGGTAAGTTCTGATCTCTTCAAATAAAAAAGATGGTCTTTTGGGGGAAAATGGTGGAGGGGCACTTCCCCCAAATCTGTTCTTCTTCCTCCCTCAGGCCTGTCCCTCACGTATTTCCACTTTAAAAAAAACTCAGCTGTATCTACCCCTTAACTTACTGCCTACGGGCTGATCTACTTCAGGAAGTACAAATGGTCACTTCATGATCCATGACCTTGTTCCAATTTTGTACCAGTGATTCATCCACACATTGCTTATTGTCAAAGCCATCCCATAAAATGGACTCTGGGAAGTTGTTAATAATCATTTATAAATTCCTTGGAGATAAAGGCCAAATTGGATTTTCAGACTGTGGGCATACGAGTAAATCATGCATGGACTTGATCTGCATCATGATAAGACTGTAATGATGTAATCTTTGAAGAGGTGTGGCAAGAGATGCGGAACTGAGCCAGAATTAACAGTGGCCAGTTATTGTCAGTAACTTCTATTAAAAAATGTCAAAGGTCATCTGCTTTTTTTTTCATGATATGTACAATTTTGTCAAAAGGTTTATTGAAACAATGAAAATCCTAGTTTTGAAATTATTTGAAATTATTTTCCACTTTTTCTTCAATTCATTTCAAAGTGTTTGTGTGCCCATAAGTACCTAACAGCCTTATATGTTATGTAGGAACAAAACTTATTTATCTTGGTTAATTGTTTTGAAAACTATTTAAAACGAGACTGTAGTTAGTTTGTATAAAAAGAATAGTAATTTTGCCCCACAGCCAGAATGTTACTCATTTTTACTGAGATCATGAATATACATGTTGGAAGCTGATCATGAATATGCATGTTGGAAGCTTATCTTGAAGTGCTTTGACCCTTCCAGAGAATGTTGCAGACGGTACCTTACCAAGTGAACATCCTGTACATGCCACACCGCTGTCCCATGCTTTCATTCCTTATTTAGCTCGAGCATCAATAGGAAGTTTGCCAATGCAGACTTGATGCGGATAAGCTTGAAAACTGTCCAACCATAATTAATTAACGGGTAATACCTTTCTAGACAGGTGCACTCCCTGTCAGCCTAAATCTAAAATATTAATGTAAATATTCAAACGTTTATGCTTAAGTAACTAGCAGCAATTTTTTTTTCCTGTCTGCAGTGTTCCTAGTTCTCACTACTGCTGTTCCTAGCCCAGAGGGGCATTCCATGTCTGCAGTGCCATTCCAGATCCAGGGTGTATTTCATTATCTACCGTGCTGTGCCAACTCCAAGGACTTTGCTACTGTGTTTTTCCACATCCAGAGCAACGTTTCTTCTCATCTATTTGCCCTTCTCACTCCAGGAGAACAGTACTTACTGGTGAACTGAATCCACCAATGTACGTAACATGTAATGTACATGCAATGATGATATTTTAAGAAGTGACACAGTCGCCATAAAATTTATTTCATAATTTCCATTATTTTGTATGGTTCAAATTTTCAGTATTCAGCAAAAGAGAAATTTGCTAGGAAAGCATGATACTTGGCTTTTGTACGTTCTTTGGTTAAAACCTCTGTACAAATAACACTTCGAAATGCAGTAGGAAAAATACACATTGTGTATGTACAAATTTGACAATGTAGCTGCTTGCAAATGAATCGGTCGTCAAGAAACAACAGGTTACATCTCATCAGACAAACAGTGAAGCATCATTTAAGAAACATATTTAAAACAGTGTCAGCCTTTTGTATGAATCGTTCATTGCGTGAATACAAACGGTTCCTGCAAAAATTGGGGATTTAAGTTCATGTTGTCTGTACTTGTTCTCTACAAAGCATTTTTGGGTTGAAAAACTTGGCTACGGTTGGAAGACAAAGCAGATGAGAAATGCTCTATTTCAAAACGGCTAACAAAAATACGGACTTTTTTCAATTTTTGGAGGTTTTTAAAACCTCAGCTAAAAAGTAATAAATTCTGTAAAAAAAAGAAAAAGAAAAAAAGGATTTTGTTAGGGGTGGGTAGGACTTCATAGACCAACCTACCCTACTCAGCCTTATTGAACCTGCATGGGAGTAAGAAATACATTTACTTAAAATCACTATCTTAAAGGTTCAAACCTGAAGCCATAAAGAAAAATGTTTCTGGAATATTTCAGTTAGGATTTAATACAATACAGAGTAAAATTGAGGGAGTGTTGAACATCTGTGTTCACAGATCTGTGACTAAGAGCACCATCCAACAAAAAAAAAAGCCTTTCCATATAAATAGGCAGCAGGTGCACACCGTTAATTACCTGGAAGTTTATACATATGCCAAGGTGTTAAATACTGGTTTCTGAAGGTTGCCGGTAATTTTGTCATCTTGTCACATCCTGTGGCAGTTAATGTGTTAATTGTTTATGGAGACACCACATAATTGCATTGACTTGAATCCTCTGGCTGTGACTGTCCTTTCAACTTTTAGGTTTGTGCATGGCCAGAACAGCCGGTGTTGGAAGTTGCTTTTGAGTAGAGAGGATGCACGCATTCAAAGTGGCAACACAAGGCAAAAGTACAAATGAACATGTTTCTAAATAAGGACAAACATGGCTTGTTCTTTTACTTTAGAGAAAGTTATGTTGTGGCATCGCCAAGGTAGATGTTTGGACCATACACTTCTTGTCAGATAACAGATTTTGTGTTAAATTCCGACACCTTCAATTTACAATCACTCACGCCAGGAACACCGCGTCTCCTGAAAAACCTCATTTACAGCCCACTACTCAAAGTGCAAACGTCATGCCTGTTGAGTTCACACACTTTCTCGTTACACCCTCTGAAACCATCCAGTTTCATATCAAGGGGTTGAATGTACTGTACCAAGACACAGGAAGGGTCTAGTTTTAGTCATTCCAAGACAGGAAGAGTAATTTTCATTAAAGTGTGGCTGTCTTGTAAAAAATGGAACAATTGCCCTACAAATGCTTAGGTTTCACTCTCCTGAAGCCAAACATTCCACGTCTTTCTGGTTTCCATTTTACATGTAAGACGTACATGCATAAATGTTCAATTTGTGCTAGTTGAATTTTAAGCCATGATTTTTTTTAATACATTTCTTAGACCTCACTGGAAAATATTTAACTGTTCAAGTGAACCTTCCATTCAGAACACCTTGTCCTCATTTCAGAACAGGTGGCCATTCCACTGGGAACACAGCATTCCCATCAAAATGTTCCAACAATGTGGGAATGCCCTAATCTAACACTAGTGTTCCATTGGGAACAGTCCAGTAGAAAGGGAACGTTAGTGACTTCTGAAACACTCCCTTACTGTACTGATTTTTTTTTGTCGTATCTTTTTTTATCTATGGGGTACTTTCACTCCAAATTAAACAAATTTAATTGGAAAACAAGTCAACAAAACTTCAGCATGCCTGTAACAAATAACATTCTGTCTTTATATAAATTGTTCAACATGCATGTTTACTTTTTTTTTAAATGAATAAATACAAACACAACAGGTATCCATTCTGATTACATTCACCTAAAATGTCTTTTGGAGACAGACATCGGAAATCTTTTCATGTTCATATTAATATACTCTTCAGAATTGAAAAGGTGCCCCTGTTAGTCTTCTTATTCTGAATATGGGTGAATCACAAAAGCGCGCCTCCAAGAGTTTGCAACACATTGACCAATCTCGGTGCGCGAAATCCATCGACCCAATACCCATTTGGAAAGGGTCGACGGATTTCGCGCCTTGTGATCGGTCAACGCCTTGCAAACTCATGGAGTCGCACCATTGTGAATTGCCCGTAGTGTAGCGTGTCTTTTTTATAGACCTTAGGACACATTTGGACACAGTACATGTAAGACAAACATATAATAGCGTTATTATTTCACAGTCGTCATCTTCCCAAAACATATTCAGGCTATGGAGTACATATATACAGAAGGAATATACATACATCATAAAACGTAAACATTCTATATCGGTCTGTACACTATACACTAATGAACTATGCACGGCGTCACCTGTTGCCGCAAGAAAATCTTTGTAGTACTATTACCATGATGCCGCACACCAGAAGTACCCCAAGACTACTGGATACTGTGTGAGCTGCCGCCGTGGGTACAATTTGAGTTCTGACCATGGTGGTACTTGCTGCCAGTAGAGGTGACAGGTACATGTAGGACACCACCATGGGGCTTCTCGTGTTGATGAGAGCACCAAGTTTCTCGGCCTCTTTGTTGCAGGCAATGATCTGAAATAAACGAAATCATGCTCGTGAATTTGCACAGAATTCTTTCCACTGCATCTGCTGAGACATTTGATTTTGTGAAGCTCTCTCCTTGTGTAATAATTACTGGATTTTTTTTTTTTCAGTTTATTACGGCCAAAATGCATTAAATCGTGATAACATCCAATAATAATGAAATTTTTATTACTCTGGTAAGTTGTTGAATACTGGAAGTAATACTGAGGTGTAACATCTTGTTTAGTTTCATGGTTAAATTTCATCAGTTATCCCTGTAACAGCATTCTGTCTTTAGATAATACTTTTGTCCTTTACCTGTGTTTTACTGGGTGAAGGAATGGTAGACATCACAGAGATGACGATATCACCTTCCACACTGAGATAGCCATACAGATCACACTCGGCCTACACAAAATTAGTAACAGTCTGAGAAGTCAAGCAGTTTTTACAACGGATTTGTTTTTTCCCACAAGTGTATGTTCTCCTGAGCCACTTAATTAACACCTTTTAGTAATGACAATGTGAAGGGTTGTCATTTAAGTGAGGGAATATTAAGCATAATTTGTATCGTGCACTGCTGGGACACTTGCCTCTTCCACCAACAAGTGCAAAATGCTTACATTGTACACAGTAAATAATTCAAATCGGGGCCTTCAATGAAATATGGAAACAGGTGCACGCATCTCCAATGTCAAGACGGCTTCTGTGTATAGGATATGGCAGGTAATCGAGAACATGCTGACTGGCTCTTTCTAATCTGTTCTGCTTACCACTGCAACAATTGTCCGCAGTCCCTTTAGGACTTCAGCAACTGATACTGCCTTGTTCCCGAAGGCAGCCGCTGCCCTGTCTGCCTCTCCCTTGCTGTACAACACCCTTGTGTAGGCCGCTGTGAAGCAAAACGTAACAGGACATATTCTTGGTGTTGGAAAACTCAATCTTTCCAACTTACATTTTCTGGTAAAATGATTGAAGTCACCCATGTCTGCGCCTGACATTTTCTACTATTATACACTCAGAAATACATTCTTTGCAAATTCAAGTTTTATTTTAGGGAAGGGGTGAGCCTGTAAGGAATTCACCTTGCACTTTCAAAAACTGGCCCCAATTCGCTTTCTCCAAATCCTTCCTAAATGCATTTTGAGCAGAAAATAATTTGGGTCATTTTTAGACTTTGTCACGTTAAATACCAAGCAAATTTAAATTTTGTCATTTTCGCTCAAAATTGAATAAAACTGGAAGGAGTTACCCTTGCTATTTAATTCAAATTTGGCAAAAAATTTTGCATTTCTCTAAACCCTTCCATCGTGCATTTTGAGTAAAAGAAGAATATTTGGAGGCATTTTCAGACCTTCAGTTTTTCTTTGTTAGACTGGGTAGCAGTTTTATGTGTAACCTGGAGCAAATCTAAATATTTTCGGATCTGAATTGCAAGGGGTTAGCCTTGAAATTTAATTCAAATTTTGGCCAAAATTTCCCTTTTCCCCAGATCTTTTCCAAATGCATTTTGAGCAGCAAAAGAGTAACTTGGGGTAATTTTAAACTAGAGATGAAGCACAATTTTTTTCTTACCACACACAGGACAGCAGGCACCAGGAGGTGTCGCCCCTATACAGTGTGGTACAGATGGATCTGGACACTTGACTGAAGAACACTGTTGGGCTGTCGTATTCTCTGTAAAACAAAATGATTGTGAAATGTGTGCAATGGTCAGGATATTTGCATTCGGTGAGAGATGAAAAGTGTGACGTCACTTCAATTTAAACCACGCCCACTGCACCAGCACTGCACATAGGGTTACATGCATTGATCGCCGTTTATATGAAACCGGGAGTTAACATGCAACTTCTGCGATCGTCCAATGAGAGCCTGCAAATCGTGGCGCGTCCGCCTTTGTGACGAAGCCACTTACGAACCGGATTCCACTTGGCTTTGCTTCGTGGATTAGCAAGTTTCATCTGCCACCTCATGCAATTATTCTTACCATCGCACCCATAATCATTCTTTATTGTACACTGTGAACATTGGCATAATTTTAAAAGCAAAATCAAATATGATTGAAGTGCACTATGCTTCTGTAATTTTTTTTCAACCAAGAAAACCACCTTTATATTCATAAAAATCAGGTGAATGACATAACATTGGAAAATAATTCTACCTGTTCGCTTTCCAACAGCCCGACAAGGTCCAAAGTAATCAATAATGGTCCTATCACTCCATGCTGCACATTCACTGTGATAAGTCTCCCCATTCTGACCACAAACTTGGCGTTGGTTGACAGCGTTGCACCTTGCCTGAAAGGAAAAAAAAGAGTAACAGTTATCAAAGACCATTCAGACTGTTCCTTTCAAGTTTCCAACGGGAATTTCTTCCCGAAAGCCGACTCCAAGAATTCCGGCCTTGCTTGGCCACGAAGGCCACCTGCCAAACCGCAGATTCTTGGTTTGTGGCCCTGCGGCCCGAGGGGGTTAAAAGGTACCATATTCAGTTTTGGTATTCCACGTGAAAGTTAATGTAGACTATGATCACCAGTTCAACTGAATTCCAACATGCAGAAGAAACTAATTTACCTGTCCATAGTAACTTCAATGTCAGACACCTGCTGAAGGCCACGTTTTAAATTCAACACTTACCTGGCAGGGACCCAGGTAGTCTAGTGTCTTGCCTCGTCTGTGTAGAGTACATAAGTTAAAGTGCTCCTTGCCATCCGTGTCACACACTGTGGCCCTAGGCTCCCTGCTACAGTGACGACTTGCACCAACTGTAAAGGTATGAAGAACAAAACCTTTTGATAACCCAAGCATTTGTGTTTTGCACTTTGATTGGCTGATTTCCTTATCATATACTTTTATTATCTTTTTTTTAGCTTTTGTAATGGTTTTATATCTATCAGGAATCTCCGATAGCCCTGTCTGATACACAAATCAAACTTCTGCCGCTCATGTCAGACGGCTACATTCTGGCCACATTAACAAGAAGTTTGAGTCAAGAGCCTAAATCAATATGTAGATGAAGTTGGAGACCTGAGATGAAGGCCCAAGCTGGGTTAAGTTCAGGGGCAAAACTGGGGTATATTTTGCACAGGGCCACTCAGTGGGTTTGGTAATAGTGAAAACACTAAGTTGGACTATCTCCAGATGCTTTCCCTCTCTGATTTCCTGGGGGAGGACACATGCCCCCCCCTCCCTTAGTTACAACACTGGGTAGGCTTCACTCCAAGTAACCACTTACTACACTCATACTGTGGACAGTCGGCATAGTTGATGCTGAGACACACCTGCCGTCTGACCACACACCTATAAAAACAACGCAGAAGATCAATCAGCATTACTTGAAACACGGAGCAAGGTACTATGCTTGAAGTCAAGTCATTTGGTGGCAAGCATTTTGATACGTACATCTAAAACTAAATCCAGAAGGAAATTAAAGAAACTGGGAAAGAGCCAAGTCCTTTCACAAACGTGGTTTTTTTCATGTGGCGGTATTTTTACAAAACAGTTTTGTAATTCTCTTACTGCATCTTTTGCCTCTCCTCTCATGCTAGCGAACACCTCACCGCAAATATTTGCAAACTCTCTACTGAAATTTATTTCCCATAAATAATGCCCATTATGAATGACAGTTTCCCTGGTTTACAGAAAAGATTTAGGAAAGGTCATGTCCAAAATACTTAGCTGTGGTTTGAAATTACACTTGACCGTATGGGAAGTGTCTGCAGCCACTACCAACACTAACTTTAAGCCATGGCCAAGTAAAACGATTCACAAGACCAGAGTCATGTATAGAGAGCGCTGCGACATAAGGGTCACCTTGGTGAAAACAAAGTTGCAGGTGTATGGGCCAGTGCACATGGACAGTTGGTATACAATAGACGGACGCTCGACTGTAGACATGATGAACAGACACTGTTTCCATTCCAAACTCTGAGGCTGCATCCAAATCTCTTGTCTAGAGCTAGGTCTAGGTCTTTGCTCCATTTGAAATGTGTGGAGTCACGTAGACAACAGACCTAGCCGTAGCTCTGGAAGCCCTTTTCGGACACGGCCTGAAGCTGGCACTACTCTCTCTTTTTAAAGCTCTTGCTGTTACAAATGAATAGCGCCCTCTGTTTGCTTACCTTTCATCAGCCTGGCATGGGTTGTCTGCACAGGGGTTGTCAAACGAGTCACAAGTCCCAAACTCTGACTGATTGTCCTCTAGGTCAGCTGCACACCTGCCATTTAAACAAAGGTTGATATGAAATTGTGAAATTTAATTTCAAAGCTTGATTGACTTTCTAAGCTAAACAACAAAGCCAGAATTACCGATTCTAAACACGCTCTCCTTTAAGGACCCATCATCTTGTTCCATATATTACTATTTGCCAAGTGACACACTCAACCCTTGAGTTGACACACCCATTTTACACTAACACCCATCACTCACTTAGCGGTACAGGCACTCGGGTATGTGCGTCCGTTGGCCCCGCACACCGGCACGTACTGGTCAGTGCATTTACAAGGCAGTGTGGAGTAATGTTGACTGGCATCAGGATGGGCATCCAGGTTAATGGGGCACTGTCTTCTGGAACAGGTCTCGACACCATTGAAGCACACGCAGTGATTGCAGCTGATCTTGTAGTGGCTTCCATGCTCTGAGAGAAAATACGGTTTTCTAAGTAACGTGGTCAATTCAATCCAATGTCCAATCACAAGTCAATGCTTGGGTGCATTCAAGCTACTCCTGTTAACACCAGTATTCTCCTGAGTGCTGGAACAGCTAGAGTACAGCCAGCTTAAGGCTGAGTATTACTCCTGCACCCAAGTGTAATGCACACGCATCATACTCATGTTAACAGGGGTAACCGCACAAATGCACCCCTCAAGTCAGTACTCTATCCAATGTCCAATCACAAATGTGAATTCAATACTCTATCCAATGTCCAATCACTGGTCAATGCTTAAGTCAATACTCTATCCAGTGGCAAGTCACAAGTCAATTTTCCAAGTCAAACTGCCAAAAGAACGCCTTTGAATAGCCTGTAACTTGTCTAGACAGCATGTGATGAACCTTGTGTGAATTTCTGAAGCTCTCCGGTATACACCACAGTTTCTTTATAACGCTTGTATTGAGTTTCGACATGGTTTCCAGCTTGTGGATAGGCTGATTCATATCAAAATTCACCGAACGAAAAATGCAGAGGTAGTATCTAACAAATTAAAAATTTAGACAGCTTACCTCTCCTTTGGCCATTGTGGGTACAGGGTTCCATGGTCTCACACTGCAACGGCTGGCAGTGCTCCAAAATTCCGTTCACACTGCAAGTGCAGGCCTTGTAGCAGGCCAGGTTGTCAGCCGATTCCGGCAGTCGGACGTGACTCCCGCGGGTCACTAGGAACGTGGAGGCATCCCCTAGCCGGCAGCCGGGGGTGCACTTTGCCTGCGTGCACGTCTGGCCGTAACCGCACAGCCCACGATTGATGGAACAGACTCCACTGAAACCCGTGGTCTCGTTGTTGCAGGGATCGCTATGGCACGGTACCGTCATCTCGTCATTCTTGTTCTCTCGTGCACCTGCATCTGTAGGTTGAAACAATGGTGTCATTTCTCCTGCATGATATGTATTGGAAGACAAAAGGACAAGGCAAACGTTCACCTGTTCTTATTCCTTGTACTACAGAGCTACTGAGCATGATAAACTGTACCAAACTACCCCGACAATGAACATTATGGAAGATGTGTATTTTGACAGTACTTGGTCCACATTCAAAGGGGTCCTCAGGGGAAAAAAGAGCCAAGGGTAATCTGTAGCAGCAATGAGAATATCACACCAGATAGCAATGGTTGATACAATATAATGCATGCTACTGGTGCATAATTTGAACCTGCTTCAAGCTCATACAGGCCCATCGCTGAGGGGAGGGGTCAGTTGGCCCCGCTGTAAGCAAAAGCCATAAGCATCAAATCATCAGCTGCTCTCATGATCGCCCCCCTCCCCAAAGATGGTACCATGGCCCCCAATGACTGAAGCCAGTGACAGAACTAAGCTGACAGGAAATGAATGTCAATACTTACCAAGGTATTCAGTGAGTGGAATGCAAGGTGCGTGCCTGTCAGCTGGAGACAGGATGTTGCATAAGCCCAGTGCCGTCAGACCCTTGGTGAGACGAGAGTGATCAATACATCGACTCAAGATGTGGATGCAATCCGCCCTGACAAAAAAACCAACAACTTCAAATTACAGTCAGTCTTGGAATCAAAGCAATTTAAAATTGAGTCAGACGTATGGCAAAAATGTGAGAGGCATTTAGTATTAGAAGGGAGTCAGACACACAAAATATTTCAATCTGAAATTTTTCAATATGGCTCTCCGAATGATTCAGTTCTCTTCATAATTATATTTAAATCCAATCTTTTCAGCAGTTGAAACAAATGAGATTGTGTGGGACTTCAGTTTGGGGGTTTTTGAGGCAGTAGCTGTTGTTTTCACCATTCACGTGCCAACTGATAAGCCATAGCCATAGGAAACGATGTCTGCTTCAGACGCAGCCAAATAAGTCACTGGTGTCCAGACTTACTTGCATATCATGTTGACATGCGATTCTGGGTGGCAAGGCTTGACCTGCAAGGTGCACGCTATGGCCTTCCACATCTCCGACTCGCACTCGGCAATGTCCAAGACAGGGATGTTCATGAAGGGCATGTGAATGGAACCCTCACTCCACAGCTGCATGTCATTGGCTGCGCCACCGTCTGAGCGGGCTGAGCAACTACGGAACAGGTCCGTGGGTCTGGAGAAGATGTAACAAGATTCTTATTAATGTGATGGACAACAATTAATTAGGGGAATTGAACAAGTGTCACCAATCATGCTGTTTAGGGAACAGGAAATAAAATTATCTTTAACCCTAACACTCCCCAATCCTTCACCTGTTGGAGGACTGAGGAGTGTTAGGGTTAACATTACTGAAAAGATGGACGTCAAAAATTATATTTAACAAAGTCACATAAAATCAGCAAAGAGATACATTCGAAATGCTTTTCTTCATGAAAGATTGAGATATCTGACTGTTTGCTTACCTGTTGTTGAAGTTGGTACAGTACGTCAGCCCACTGCATCCTGGCTGGCACGGCTCTTGAACTGAGCATGATAGAAAAGCAAACTTGCTACTTTAAACTTGAAAACAGAACTTCCAGCTTCCCACAGAACAGTGTTGTATTTGAGTCCATCACAAGTCCTTTCACAAGTCCCTTCACAAGGCCAGCCGTAAGTAACAGGGTGAACATTGACAAAGTAATGCTTTTGTCGCAGCTCATTGGAATAGCTTGTGAATTGGCCCAAGACTGAACGACTTGTAATGGACTTCCAGGGACTTATGATGGACTTGAATAAAACACTGCCAAAGAAGCATCAGTCATACCTAAACATTGGCTGAATGTAAATACTATACAGACTACTCAAAACTCCAGGTCTATCACAAATGTTTCACTTAAAATTCAACCTTTCCTCAAATTCTTGTGAAATGCGAAACAGTAACAAAGTATACAATAGAAAGGACTCTACAGTAGAATTAACAGTGAGCTATGCACTCCATCCACAAACTGCTGCACACCCAACAATTTGCCTCAGTCTTCGACCGCATGAAGTTAGCACATAACATGAAAGAGGAAGAAGATGGACGGCTGTATTATTGCAAACAAGGGTGCTGGATAAAAATTGCAATAGGTGATACTACTGACCATCTGCAAGACATGTGAGTAGAGAGACCTCCATGGGTTGATACTGGCAGTGCTCGTCAAAGTTGTTCCAGCTCTGCTTGGTTGACCAGGATGTACTGTACAGCTGGAAAATTTATCAATCAATCAGCGGTCAAAGTGTGATTGGGAATCGATCGGTCATCACAGATCAGTTCCATTTATAGGATAATTATCTCTGATTCCTTTTTAAATTTTATAGGTTTCACATTCCATACTTCCATAAATTCATACTTAAGACAAGCAAGAGAACTTCAATGTCTAGTCAAAGACACGTCTGCTATCCCCCCTCCGAGCTGAAGTGCACCCCCAATCGGCGAAAGAAAGACAGGTGGTTACAAGCGGGTTCTTGCACGCGTTCTGCATGTACGCAAAGACCATACATTCCGGAGTAAATTAGTCACGCGTACTCAGCGTGCTCCGCATCAAACGCACATATACTTGCGCACCTCATGGCACGCCTATGCGGTGAGTACACCCTCTCTTGTTCTGCCTGGAGCGGATACCTAATCAATGCGTCGCTCAATCAAATAATGGAAGAATTGATGTCTTACCTTGACACATATCTCTCTACACTTTGCACTGACAGCCCTCTGGCAGCATTGAAGCTTGGCTCCATCCATGGCACTGGGATTAGGTAGGGGGCTGTCTTGCGCAATTTGGGACCCTATAAAATACACAGTCACTTGTTACATTACATGTGAACCCTGTTCAAACTAATGTCCATTTCCACTATTCGGTGACCAGGTCCCTGCCTTGTCACTTTCAAATCGAGTCACTACACCCCCTCCAAAAACAGAAATCAGAAAGTTACCTGAATTGAGGAAAAAGCAATTCCAAATGCCTTCGTGTGGCTGGATGGGCCCACACGCTTCTAGCAACGAATCCACGATGTCACGCTCTGAAGTTAGGTTGATGTGGGCACGCCGACATATCTCCTTACAAGCAGAACTATGAGACCGCTCACAGCAATGGAGACCTGAAGGAAGTAGACGTTAGAGTTCTTGGTGATGTGGTACAGGCATGTTGGCAAACATGCTAAAATGCACCAATGACAATCGGACATCAAGAAAGCCTGTTCACCTCAGCTTCTTATTGACAGGTTCTAAACTTTATGCTCACAAGTCTACATGATCTCCTTATGATCATCTCTGGTTCTAGACTTGGCACTTGGAACAGCCACATATTATAGTGTAGAAATAAATTTACACCAAAGGTGCTGGTGCAAAGTTAGTACTTTACGTGTTTAAGGTGACAACATGCACTTTTTGAAAAATTTTCACTAATTTAATAGAGTAATTTGATTTAAAACCAAAGATCAAAATTTTCCTTGTATGATTTGAGACTTGACACCAGAACATTTCAAATTACAAACTGAAATCCTTCTTACTGTCCCGAGGATCTCTGGCTGGAATGGCCACCAAAGTATAGTTCTCCACACACTGGATGACTGTTTGACCGTTTGACCGGCAATTTATGGAGACGTCCAGTGACATCTCCTCAGTAGGTGTGCTTGCATCAAATATGGCCTCGCATTTCTGACGACACTGAGAAGCTACTGGGGCATGTCTGCAGCAATCTTCCTTCTCTGTAAGGGGGAATTTAAAACAAGGGGTAAAAATCAGTGGAAAACATCGGCTGGTCTCTTACGTCTCTTCTTTTTGCTCCAAATCCTCTGTAAGTCAAACCTCAATGAGCCAGTGTGGTGTTCCAACAGTGCATGCCTAATGAAGCGCATCAGAGGTCATTGGGAAGAGCAATCCACAGTTGAGGTTTGTGCTTAATGTTCTTGAAAGACCTGGCTCATTTAAACTTTTGTAACACTAATGAATATGTTGGATGAAACAAGAAGCTAGACTTACTTTCAAATCTGTCCAGGCACTGGAACAATGAAGGCTGTATCAAAAAAAAGAAAGAACTACCTCTGATCAACAGTTCAAAAGCACATGAAACAAGCGCAATTTTTCTGAGTCATTGTTTACGGTTTCCAAGATTTGGTCACTTCAATTAAAGGTAACTTTGCAAGGCGATATTTCACACAAAAGTAAAACATTTCAACATGTGTAGAAAGTGGCATGGATGGACTTCCTACCTCTTCGTGTCTCAGGCAGGCTGAAGATGTTTCCGAGAAGGAACTTGCCTGCAGCAACGACAGAAATAAACCGTGAAAAGGAAATGATTTCATGCCAGCACATCACGTTGGAGTTGTGTATGAGTGGTACTTGACCGATTTGACTAACAGCAAATCCAGGAGCACTTTCTTTCTATCTTTCCTTTACTAGACCCCATTCTTTGACAATTTTGGTTATGATAAATGGAAGGACTAATGCCAGCTCTGTTGTTAAAGTCCAGATTTTATTCCATCCAACTGAGAGCTTTTATTCAGTGCTGATTGTGTTCTCCAACAGGTGCCTGGAGGGTGAAGGATATTATTACAATTCGCCACCAGGTACATTTTGAGGTAAAAAGAAAATTTTGAAAATTAGAAGGAACCTTTCGCAGATGTCTTCCCTCAAGCAGTGTCTCTGTTGAAAACCCAGAAGAAGCTGATTCCGATGTTTTTCAAACTTTCTTTTGTTCCCCTTTCACACCATCCATCCCAGTCCTTACATCAAGATCCCCAACCTCCCCCTTCCCCTTTCCCTAATATCCTCCATCCAGGAGGTTGACAAATTGTTCATTATAGTCTTCCCTGTCCCTCCTCTGGATGTTTAACCCTCTGACATTTCGTGAGCTGCACCAGCCTCTAAGAGAAGCCGACAACCAAACTGCCTTTTCTCCACCACCACCATCCCCCCAACCCAGAGCGCGAAACGTGATCTGCGGTTGTCTCTGCAGCCTGCCCAGGACATACTCCTGCCACCTGCGGTGAGCAGGACAGATCTATAAACACAACAGCTGACTCTGGGCTTGACTTTGGTGGTGGATTTCAGAGAGGGAATGGAGAGTTTGTTGGTTTTGGTCTGGCTCCCGTGGAGAACTATTTCTGATCTGATGGAGGGTATGAACTTCAGACTAGTGTCAGGACATTTATGCAACCACACTTATGCTGCCACTTTGAAAATCTCACACTTTTTTTCTGTCAATGCATTCGGGAGTCCCAAAACAGATCTTGAAAATTTTCATTTTGACCCAATCTTCATTTTTTGGCAGGAAACTGGAAAGATCAGACGTGTATTTTATAAAAATTTATTTCAGACTGTATAATCCACCAGCTTGAAAAAAGGTGCAGGAAAAATTACCAATTTTCCCAATTTTAAGCTTTAATCTGTTTCAACAGTAAGTAGAAATTAAATATGATGGCCCTTTTGCTGGATGGTGTGGATGACATTGAGAGAATATTGCGGGCAAATTCGATAAATTCATCTCTTGTGTGAAGAACCGCTGGTTAAGAAAGAGGAAGGTATGTTTTGAAGTCTGTCTTCCATACATCTTGAGCAGAAAACCAATAATTCAAAGAGCCTCACTATCCATGTATTGTGATAAAGTTACAGTCTTTTGGTCAGAATATTTACTCAATATCAACAGTCTTGTAATTATTTATCACATCCAAGACCACAATCAAGCAGTCGCGGCACATAAATCTTTTGGGCTGCAATAAACAATATTTCTTTTTTGTACTGAACAGGATGAAATTTTTGATTTTCTCTGGGGAAACAAAAGGGGAGAGAATAAACACTCATCTGGATAGGTTCGCTACAAAGCTTTCTCCAGGCTCAGTTTTCCTGAGAAACATTGAGTCATCAAATAACCGTTCCATTATTGGACCATAAATCAGTGAGTAATTGCCACCAAGTAGCCTCGCACAGCACAAATCACAGCAGCGGGTAAAGACCCAACGAGCGCCAAATTTTTCTGAGGAAGTTGAAGGATGATAGTAAATCACTTCACGTCCACAGAATTGAAAACCAGCATTTTCAGACCATACATGTATATTTCATTTGATGGGAAGGCAGTTACTGAAGCAACTGGAGCAGGTTGTGCTGTTCCCTTAAGTTCAATATACGCACATTCAAGGAAGAAATCCAATTCCAATTGGAATCACCCGGAATTGACAAAACAACTGCACGGCATCTCCCACAACATTTGTTTTAAAACTTCATGAGTGTGGGACGTTTCATTAAAAAAATTCTCATTTCATTGTGCTGTTGGGTCAGAAATTTGATTGGGGGGACTGACAACAAATTGTTTCTTTATTGAGGGGAAGCCACATACAGTGACAAGATCCAACAATGGCTAATATCCTGAAAAGTGACTTTATATATCAAAAACACTAGCATAGTTTGAACGAATTGGGATGGCAAAGTGGCTTCCACAAGATAATTTCCTGAACCATGAAACTGTTGGCAAAAAGAAATTTACCCACAATCTCCCGCACGAGGATTTGTCTTGAAAGGTGAGGAAATGCTGGGCTTGATTGTGAACAAAAATCCTGCCTCCCTTTGGCAAAATACTTGAGGATTTTGAGGCCCAACCCAGGTGCCTCTCCTCTGCACCCCTAGTGCTACAAATCCAGACACTAAGAGGTATCAGTCACACCAGGGTGTCACCCCTCTGTCACACCCCTAGCCTTTGCGCATAGACCCCCCTTGAGTGCCGATCTGTCAAACTCCATCACTTGGCCCCCTGGGGTTATCTCCACAATGTCACTCAAATTCTAGGTGTGTTTTCTGTTGGCTGGATTTTTACCTGAACTAAATTAATGGTCCTGTTACCAAAATTGAATAGAAATTTATGTGTATGAAGGGTCCTCTTATCATTATTTCCAATTTAAAAAATTTGTGAAGCTTTAGTTCTGAAACCTAGTGGACAGCCCTAGATAATAAAGGGTCATTCTTACCTATTGCTGCCATCAATTTGGTAAATATTTCTTACCTGGAGTATGGTAGCATGCAGTTATTATTAAGTGTTCATATTCGCCTCCTTTCTATCCTGGTCACTGGATAATCACAGTGACAGTATTCCCTCATTCATTTTGGTCACTTGCTAGTTTGGTTGAAGCCACCTGCAATTTGTGAGGACTTCCCAAATGAAAAGTCACTTGTTCACCTGCCAACATTCCCTATTAATGTCAACTGCTCACTGCAGCCACTTGTCCAAGTGAAGGCATAATGATTCTGAGTTTACCTAGTACAATGGAAATACAGTAGTGATGTACTATACTCACTTGCATACAGGCAGCATGGCACTGACCAGCTCGAGCGTTGATGCAACACTGCCGCCCTGGCCAGCCTGTGTCCTCTTGCCAAATATCTGCACATATAAACAGAACAGGAAGAACTATCATGAACAGAAAATGGACAAGTTTTGGCAATTTCATAGCAATCTGAAGCATGTTCAGTATTTGGACAAGATGAACTGGGACTAGTCCTTGCTTTAGGAAAAATGGTTGAGTAGACACCCAACGCAAGGCCACACGTGTCCGCTAGCTCTAAAAAAAAAAAGTTAATTTGACTGTCTCATTAATTTAAGATTCAGACAACTGCTCAATGCTGATCAGAAAATTTAGACTTCCTTGCAGCAAAACTGACATACAATTGTTAAAAACTTGCTATTCCTGGGCTCTCCGTGCCGCTCTAGGAAAACCTGCTCAGCCTTGGGCGACTCCTCGAGACAGCACAACATAATCACCTGTTTGCCAACGAATGTGCGGCCCCAGGATCTGTATTAATTGCACACATTTGATAGTCTGCCACATCACCGTGTGCTTGGCTCTTGTCATGGGACAATGTGGTCCTGTGTACAAGCGGGGCACACTCGCGGCACGGCGTGCCAATCGTACAGCCCGGATGCGTTAGTGACTCACCATCATGATATGAAATACATACAGACATATGGGCCTAGATATGATTCACATTATTCTTATCTTGTGCACTAGACATGTTCATATTTGTATCCATCTGGAAGGAATGAAGGAGAACTTGTAGATGTCTCCAAGACAGAAGGAAATCCGACGTTACTCTGGATAAATCTACAGAATCTGTCGAGGAATGCATGTGATAACCATGCCTTTTTAGCTAAAACTGGGCTTACCTTTACAGACATAAAAATAAAATCTAAAAAATTAAAACATGTATCTTTCAAAAAAAAAACTAGCAGAAGTCGAATTCACCTTGCTGGATTCAAACCATAAATATCAGAAGGCCCAGGTGAAGGGACAAAAGAATACCAGGCAAGGTGGATCAAGTTGGTATCCTACACAAATCCAGATTACACTCAGCAATTGAAACTGTCTGTATCTGACAATATGTGACACTGTCGAGGTTCTGTGTTTGGAGTGTTGAGAGGATGCAGAAAGTAATTGGACAAACTCTATGTAAGAGGAGATTTCTTTCAATGGCAATTGAGTTCCAGCTCTTTGCTGGAATTGCGGGGCTCCAAAGGGAAAAGAAAACATGCACCCTGGGATGGGAACATGCATGCACAGCCCTAGATCCCAAATTCAGGGTGATGAAAATCAGTAAAGGAATGACATGAAAAACACATGAGTACCTCCTCTGAGGAAGGATGTTTGCTCACAAAGGCATGTGTGAGCTTTCTCTGTATTTACAAGTGAAAACAACTGTTCTTGACCAGCATGATTTCATGTCTCTTTAGAGAATCCACAGGACAAGTTTGTGATGCAAGGGACAATACAATAACACTCTTTCCCAACTGTAATCATCTTTTGTTCAAAATTAGTATTTAACAAACCACGCACGGTAAATGAACAAATTTTTCAAGTAGGGCGCTGAGCCCAAAATAAGGCAATGGCGTGCCAGTGTTCTCAGACACCAAATTAAGTGGATTTATCAGGTATTATCTGCAATACAAACTGACAAAGCAGCCATTAGTCGTGGGTTTTGTATCCGGCCCCTGCTGGTGTTCACTCGCTCTCAACCAATTAAATGCAGACCCACACACGATGCTGCATCGGGGCCTGATTCCTTAATTTCCGTCCAATAAAAACCGATGTTTCTGCAATTAGTTACAGGGCAATCAGATAAGATTAGTGTTAATGGGAAGCGGCTGGCGGGTAACAGGCAGTAGCCTGGCTTGCCGGCCAGCGTGACGGGGTGATTACATCTTGCTTTGCGACGTACAAGGCAATTAGCAGCCGCCCCATTGAGCGAGGTATATCGCCTAAAACAGCCAGTAAATACTAGCTTTCAATTAAGGCTATCTCTTCAAGATCTTGCCGACGACTTGGAATGTCAGTACCTTTGACTGTCTGTGAATTACTAGGAAAGCACTTTGCAGAAATCATTGTGGAAAATTCTTAGATATTAAATATTGAACTGAAATACAAATTTTGGTGAAGGGTGGCTGACAAACCGGTATTGATCTTTAAATAATGTTCATGATCTTGGTTTTTTTCTGATCAAAAGGACGACAGAAACTGACACTGCAAACAAATCATTCACACAAGGAAACAATGCAACACAAACCGTCTCAATGAATTCAACATTTTTACATGGATGAACACATTATTATCAGAGAAAATTTCTAAAAACCCAGCGAAGTACTCAAAATCAATATAAAAACCCAAGGTACCAGAATTTCACACTTCACACCTTGATGTTTATACTTGTCATAAACAAAGGGATATACCAGGGGATGATCACAACCACATGTAAAGCAGTCTTTGGGACAAGCAAGCCCCAGGGACTAACAGGCTGCAAGTCCCTACCCTGGCACCAAACTAAACAATGGTGGTGGGGGAACCTTTTAAGATTCCAGCTCATGCCAGTGAACTTGTCAGGGTTGCCCTTGTGCAAGGGGAAGACAAGTCCTTCTGACTCTGACACCTCTCAGAGCTGTCATGGTCCTCTGGCGTAAGGTCGGGAAGGTTTTTGGGGTAGTGTAAACACTCCTGCAGGACAAGGGGTGTGCAAATATTGAAAATGGATGGTTTAGGGGGATTATTTATTTTAGCAGAGGTTACCAGGGTGACATCCAATTGATTGTAATGGAATTGGAGGTAAACAGAGTGACATCTCAAACAGATTGATTAAATTTTACAATTTGGAGATTTTGAAAAAGGCCAATATCTTGTTTACAGTGGTTCTGAACTATGTAATGCAGCTTTCTCTGACTGCAAGTTGCAGATTTCAACTTTTTGTCCAACTGTTGGCATTTTTGAAACAGTTGGTTTCAGCTTCTGGCTGGCTTTCATTTCACTGTTTCTGACAAGCAGGCAAAGCCACAGATGAAGTTGAAGCCAAATGTCTCAAAAACATCTTTGGATACTGTTTTGATGATGGGGTGGCCCAATGTCTTAATATGTATACTCCGATCTCACAGTGCTGAAGTCACAAGTAAAGCTTAAGTTAGCTCCACAGCCAGTGCACATGCATTTGCACTGCAATTTCTAGACAAGGCAATCTATCAGAAACTTTATATCTATTCCTAGTTGGCCTAGTGTACAGATTGCCTCTGACATATCTCTCGCTCACCTCAATCAATGTGAACCACAAAAACAGAATTTTGGCATCCATTCCAATCATCCAAGCACCAACCTGTCAACTGGCTAGAATCCTGAAAGAAATCCAACCCCCAGTAACTCAAAACCACCACTCATCATTCACAGTATGCTGTGTCTGTCATGTCCCATCCCCCACAAACATATCTATTGCAAATGAGCCGTGACACGGGGACCCTTCTTTCAAGGATTTCCCCTACACAGGGTGATGATATCCTCCAGTGTGCTGTCAAATTTATCCTCTCTCGCAGTCTAGTTCCTGTAAAAGCAAAGCTCCTTTGCTTTCAGGATCAAAAATGGAAGATGAAGAAGGATCCCCTCCGTTTATATTTATATGACTGACCAACATTCAGTCCAGGTATAAACTACAGACAGCAGACCAGTTTTAAAAAGTCAGTTCAGCTATTTTCTGTCTACATCAACTGTAAAACAGCCTTTGTTTTTGTTTTCCACAGCTAAAAAGGTTCGGATGAATAAAGATGTAAAAAACAGCATTTTTAAAATGGGGTTTGAACTTTAAACTCCTTTAAATAATTTTTGCATTTTTGCACTTTAAATTTCCATGGTACATAATTGTACAGCATCTTGCTCCCCACAAAGAGGCTTACAGATGAAAAATCTTCTCGACAAAAATTTGACTTGTAGAGCTTCTCCCTTGGGAGATTAAACATGTAGGCACAGGTTGGCAAACAAACACGGAGCTCTCTTGGCATTTTCCACCAACAGCAGGCAACACTGCAAGACAACAGCCCCAAGTCCCTTTGAAGCTCCCACTGGTACAATTGAAGAAAATCTAATCATTTTGACGAGAGCCAAGCTGTGGATAGAGCACAGACAGTTGAAACTGGGCAAACAAGGAACAACAACCAGAGTTTGGGACCTGGCAGGTCACATGCTGACAAATCACCCAATCACATTTGGGGCAATTTTCACAGCAGGGGATCACATCAGAGCTGCCCTTTCCAATTCCTACTGATGAGACAAGTGATAACTTTTCCAAGTATTGAAAAAAATCTCGATGAAAGGCAAGCAGGTTACTGCTGAGGCAGTTTGTCAGTAAACTTTTTTCACAGAGAACTTCTGGGACCAGTTTTGATGAGTTGCTGTATGGTCACATTTATATTTACTTGGCTATAACTAGATATAGCACGCACATTATCTGGAAATGCAGTGGCTTCCATAGGAACATACATGTACCAGGATGTTATTTCTAGCCTAAGCCATTCAATTTGGACACAGTCTATCTATATTGCCAGTCATGATCTCTTCCAGAGCCCAAAACTTAGGCCCAAGAAGCCGATATACACCGCTACCTTTTAAACACCTGAGATTAGCCAAACATTTGAAAGGGAAACAAACAAATTTTCTTTAGACAGTTCTGAATTCTGCACAATACAACTTTCAAATCTGTTGCCCATCCAGAGCTGCCTTGTCCATGTGCACCTAGAATGTGCACCTACTTCCCATTTAACATCCACTATCAGTGCACAAAGGTAGCCCCCCAAAGACAACCCTGACAGAATCCAATCAATGAAATTAAGGATTCATGAGCCACTCCGAGAAGAGAGAAAGGGGAAGAAAGGAGATAGGCTCTCACCCCTAACACCTGATCTCAATCAAGCCCTGAAACAAGACGGTGGGGACAGAGCACGGCATCACGAAACACAATCTTCACTCGTCCCTCTCTACCCTCAAGACACACTTCACATTTCCCTGTTACAAGGCAATTATACTACACTCCTCAAACCTTTCAAGGAACAAACACTGTATAAAGTCTTTGATATTGGAGACG